ATTTTAAAGATTACACATGCACGAATATTCAGAAAGTACAAAGCGAATATAAGTAATAGACAGTTTGGCTTTCGTAACGGCTTCGGAACAGTGGAAGCTCTGTATAGTTTCACAACTCTTGCCCAAAAATGTCGAGACCAACAAAAGAATCTTTTCGTTGCGTTTATAGACTATAAGAAAGCTTTCTATAAAGGTAAACATAACATTCTCATAGAATGTCTAAAGAGAAAAGGACACGACAAAAATGAAATTAACATAGTGAGAAATCTCTATTGGAACCAATAGGCTGTGGTAACATTAGATGGAAATAGCACGGATGCCCAACAGATAAGTAGAGGAGTGAGACAGGGCTGTGTACTTTCACCATTACTATTTAATATATATTCCAAAGAGTTATTTATGCAAGCACTTGAAAACTGTACAGAAGGATCAAGATAAATGGTGAAAATATAAATAAAAACCGTTATGCTGACGATACATTCATTATCACTGAAAGTGAGACATACCTGCAGACGTTACTAAACACAATTTGTGATACTGGGGAACAGTTTGGTTTATTAATAAACATAAAGAAAACAAAAACCATGGTTATCAAAAGGAGGGGCAAAGTCATTACAAGGATCCAGATAAAAAATGAAGATATTGAGCAAGTGAACAAAATGAAATACTTAGGAGTCTGGATTACGGAAGATCTGAATCCGAAATCCGAAATTCGCTCAAGAATAGAGCAATCAAGAGCAGCATTTTTGAAGATGAGGAAATTTTTGAGTAACCAAAGACTCAATCTACAAATTCAATATCGGATGGTAAAATATGTATCTGTTCGATTCTGAGGCACATTTGCAGTTTTCATAACAGGCTGTTTTTTACAAGGGCAGGTTGTTGGCCTTCCGCTTAACCCTCCTCCTTTATCCGGGCTTGGACTGGTAAGAATGACTGTTAAGCTACTCGATTTACCCAACAGTCATTCCAGGCGGAGTTTCCAAGCGAAACATTATGCTTCAACAAGAAACAACAGAAAGTAAAGAAAACTATACAACATCACGACGAGAAACAAGAAAACTAATTAGAGAGAAAAAAAATACGAACAACAGCAGTATAGAGAAATGGAAAGAAATAGACAACAGTCAAATAGTCGAGCATTTTATATAAATATATATATATATATATATATATATAATATATATATATATATATAATATATATATATATATATATATATATATATGTGTATATAGTATATATGGAAAAAGTAGTAAGAACCGCACAAATTAGAACAGAACTACTGACAATAAATGGACCAAAATTACTACTACATACGCGATGACATTGACATTGTAGGAAAATACCGTCACCAATGTAAAAGAAACCTTCAATAAATTAGAGAGAGAGGCAAAAAATACCGGTCTAAGGGTCAATGAAGAGAAAACCAAATATATGTGCATTAATAGACAAAAGAGACGAGATAGAATAGGACAAAATGTAACAATAGACCCCTATAATTATGAAAGAGTGGAGAGTTTTAAATATCTTGGAGCGACTATCACCACAGATAACGATATCACGGAATAAATAAAAAGGAAAATTCAGGCAGCAAACAGATGTATGTATAGCCTCCACAACACTATTAAATCCAAGAGCCTAACACGAACATCAAAAATCAGGATATATAAAACAGTAATTAGACCGGTGCTCATGTATGGATGTGAGACGTGGACGCTGACAAAAGCAATGGAAAGTAAACTCAGATGCTTTGAGAGAAAAATCCTCAGAAAGATCTTCGGTCCCTATCACGATCCGAATACTAACCAATACCGAATGAGAACAAATGCCGAGGTCAAACAAATGTATAGTGCTAGCGACGTAGTCCAAGAGATTAAATCCCAACGTCTAAGATGGGCTGGCCATGTTGATAGGTTCCCTAATAACCGCCTTACCAAGTTAATCTGGGAAGAAGTCCCGACAGGGAGAAGGCCTTTAGGACGTCTACGAATGCGATAGAGAGATAATATATGGTCAGATTTGAGAATAATGGGCTACCCACTAACTTAAACATCATGGACGACCGTTCGAGATGGAAGCAGGTTGTGCAGCCAGCCAAGACCCACCCCGGGTTGTAGTGCTACCAGAAGAAGAAGAAGGATGGTAAAATGTTATATCCACTCTATTCTTTTTTATGTTGTCGAAGCAGTGACTGTTAATGTTGACTTAATGGGAAAACTGGAAGCTTTTGAGATATGACTTTTTAGGAGAATTTTGAAGATATCATGGATCGATCATATTACAAACGAAATGGTGTTACACAGAATGGGAAGAGACAGAGAACTTTTGACCATTATTAAAAGAAGAAAGAGAGCATGTTTGTGGCACATACTTAGAAATGATAAGTACGAGTTGTTGCAGCTGCTTATGAAGGGTAAACCCCAAGGAAAAGAGGGTCCTGGTAGACGACAAATATCCTGTCTGAAAAACATTCGCGACTGGACCGGGTTAAAGACACAGACGGTCTTAAGAAAAGCAGAAGATAGAGACGAATTTGCAATGGTTGTAGCCAACCTTCATTAGTGGAGACAGCACTAGAAGAAGAAGAATTTTCTTGCCATTCGGCATTTTCAATTAAGAGGTTATTTCTTCTACAAAAGTTTATTATGTACATTCTGTTCCTGTTTGCTACTTTTTCGCCATATTTTCCTATGCGCCTCAGACCTCAGTATCCTTTTATTCCTAAAGATATTTTCATTATTCTATAGTTTACCGATTTGTACTGGATTACTTTTTGTTGTTTTTCCTTTGCTTTTATTTTTCTTACTCCCTCCTTTCCTTTTTGATCAGTATTTAGTCCCGAAAAATATAGTACCTATGTAATTTATCTGTGACTTAAATTGAATTTATTATTATTATCCCGGTTTTTTATAGCGTTCTTCGCCTTCCGGTTCCCAGTTTCCAGCTACGTCGGTCATTCCATTCGCCAGGGTGAAGGTTTCTTTCCGACATTACCTTCTGAATGCCGCCCAGCCAGGATTGTTTTGGCCTTCTTCTCTTCCTTCTTTTCCTTTGACGTCCATTTTAAAATTTGGTTTGGCAGCCTGTCGTCGTCCATTCTTTTCACATGACCATACCAGATCAGTTTGTATCCTTTGAATTTCTTCAATGATGGTTGACTTGACTCCCATTATATTTCTGATATGGTCATTTTGTATTCTATCAAGCCTTGATTGTCTAGCTGATCTTCTCCAGAAGTCCATTTCCAATGCAAGTAGGCGTCACTCAAGGGATTTAGTAAGTTGCCATGTTTCGCAGCCATAGAGCACTATACTTTTAAAGATGGAGTTAAAGAGCAGATGCTTTCTTTGATTTGATAGTTCTTTTGGCCATAGCATCGGGTTTAGGCATCCTATCACCCTATTTCCTTTCACGATTCTTTGCTCTATCTCTTTTTCGGTGCGCCCACTCTTGTTGATTGTTGTTCCCAAATATAAATATTCTTCACAGTTCTTGATGGTTTCATGTTCGTTGACCATTAGATCTTCTACTTCATTCCCGATGCATAAGCATTGCGTTCTGTTTCTATTTACAGGGAGGCCCCATTCTTCATATGTTTTAAACAACCGTCTCGTCATGAATTCTAAATCTTCCTTGTCTGCTGCCACTACTACTTGGTCGTCCGCAAAATGTAGAGTGTATAATGTTGTATCGTCGTCAAGTTGGATCCCCATTCCTGAACAGGATCTTCTCCAGTATTTTAGTGCTTTATTTAAATAGATCTTAAATAGTATTGGAGAGAGGCAGCATCCTTGTCGTAAGCCTTTTGTTACTGGAAATTCTTTGATAAGGTGTTATTTAGTTTGATTTTTGATGATGCTTTATGGTATAATTGTTTGACTGCGGCGATGATGGTGCTATTTAATGAAGATTGTTCAAGAGACTGCCACAGCTTTCTCACAGGAATCGTGTCATATGCTTTTGTGAGATCCACAAATAAAAGATGTATTTCCTGGTTTCTTGCAACTTTCTTTTTATTCCGTTTGTTAGGGTAAATATGTGGTCTACGCAAGATCTTCCAGCTCTAAATCCTGGTTGCTGTTCAATTTCATGAGGTTCGTATTCTTTCCCAATCATGTTTTTAAGATTTTACCAAACAGCCTGCTAAAGGTACTGGTGACAGAGATACATCCGTAGTTTCCGCAAATATATTTTTAACCTTTTTTGCGAATTGGAGTAATCCACGCTTCTTTCCAACTATTCGGGATTTCTTCCCCATTTAAGTATCTTGTGAATAGCACTTTAAGATAGCTTATTAGTTTTGGTGTTCCGTTTTTTAGAAGTTCTGCTGGTATGCTCTCCGGCCCGGATGCTTTGTTATTCTTCATCGATTTAAGCGCTTGTTGTATTTGTTCTTCTTCCACGTTTACATATTCATCTTGTACTCGTATTCGTATATTGAATTAAGTTGTTAAATTGTATTCATAAATAATACATTACAATCAATAATTCAAAACAAGATTAAGGAAAATCTTGAATTAGTAGAAAATTACTGCGAATTGTAAAATAATCGTCCCACACAAGAGATTCGTCACATGAGAAGCCGACACATGGAATAAGAATCAGTTTTTTACAATGCGAAGAAGTCCATTTATAACAAATATAAATGCAGACATATTTTTCAATGCCGGTTAAGGTTAAACTTTAGATTAATTAATAATACAGCTTTTAAAATAAACCAAAATATTTTTAGAGAATAAATAACCCAAACAAGAATTTTCTTTTTGTCTTATGCATATCCTGTTTCTCGTGTATACCTGCACTATTTTTAGATAAATCTAAAACTCGAAGCGGTGACAATAAAATATAGCACATTTAATATAATAAATTACACGCGGATAATGGTATTTGGGTGCTGCTTAAGATGCCGCGATCCAATTCTTAAAAAACATTTCATAAGAAAAACTGTCTCATCCCAATAAGTCAATAATTGGTATTTAAAAGAGTGAGGATGCTCCAGTAGAGAGGGTATATAAAGGGATTTTACGAAGATCTTTAATTTGTGTACATCTGAGTTTTGTCGACAGTGTTGATCGAAGACGAGTCATGAAATTTTTGGTAAGTACCTTTCACTTACGACCTCTGACATCTGTGGTATTTTATTAGCTTCGATTTCTTGATTATGTAAAAGTGGGTGGAACTTGATATGCACTGCAAAGTTTATTTGAACATAGACATTACCGTTGACTGAGGTGCTTAGCTTTTGACCTATGCAGGGAATATTGAGAATTGATTTCTCTTCTTGAAAATTAGTTCTAAAAAAGAAGATACTAATAGTTTTTATCACGGATCATATAGTTAGTGAATCTCGTTAATTATTTATTTGGCTTTAAGTTTATTTGGTCAAGTCCTGACTAAAATATATTTAATAATAAAATAATGTGTTTATGAGAATTTAATAATTATGTAACTCTTGCATCTGTAGACTTTTTTTAAATGAGATTTACTATATAAGTCTCAAGTTCTTTCTCTTGTACTGAGTGTTGCAGATATTAGGAAACTGGTAAAAAAAAATTTCTCTTCAAATTACATACAATAAATATTATATCCTAGGGCATAATAAGTAGGCGTTATGGTTATAACACCCTGTTGTATAAGAAAAAAAAGCAAATGTTGCAATATTATACAAAGTTGTAAATATTATAGAACTATTATTTTTTCAATCTTAAAAATCTTTCTAAATATTGAAAGTACAATTTTTGAACTATCCTGAAAAGTTATTAGTTTCCGAAAATCTCAGAGTTTGTCGAAATTTTTGAAAATTTCGAGAAAGAACTATTAGTGCTTTGACATTATCCTAAATCGTTCACGGTCATTTTCACAAGCTCATGCTTTTTCAATTCTCGAAAAAAACCATACTGTGTTAAATATTATTTGTAGTCTCAGCAATTGGTCTGTATGAAATGAAACTCTATTTGTTATTTCTCAATATTTCGTCACGATTTTGTGACTTCTTCAGGAGAAAACTGTAAATTTATTATAATTATTATATGTAAACAAAATGAATATTTCAATACTTACAACTTAAGATTAAAAATTTAAATTTTGATAACATCCAATTTAAATAAATGACATTTTTTTGATTTTAATTTATTTGGGAGTTATGGTAACCGCAATATTTTATAGAGTGAATTCCCATTGTACAATTTTTAGCGAATAAGTTTTAGTAAACAATTACATATTGTGACAGTATTATATAGTACAATATATTTATATCTATTTATATCTTCAACACAATTATATCTATGAAAAATCGTGTAACGGCAATCTGTGATCGGAGTTTCCTAGATGTCAATTTAAAGAAACTTTTTGAAATGTTTTTAAACAATGGCTACCCAAAACATATATTAAAAAAACTTATTTATAACACTCACTTTCACAATAGCGCTTTAATAAATAATCCACAACCAGTTTTAACAAAAAAATACCTTACATAAAAAATTTAACAGACCAAATTGTCCCACTTTTCAAACATTTCCGAACATTAAATTAATTAAATACAATCCACTTCTAAATTCAAGGTTGTTCTCAAAAATAAAAGTTAAAACTCCAACTTCACTAATGAGTAATATAATTTATAGAATAAATTGCAGTCAATGTCAAAGTTGTTATATTGGACAAAGTCAACAGTGGCTTAAACAACGTGTCACTCAACACAAAAGTGACTGTAACTTACGAAAAAACTCTTGTGCCTTAGTGGACCACCACTTAAAGACAGGACATAACTTTGACTTTAATAATGTAAAAATCTTGGAACAAATTGATAATTATAAAAATCGACTTTTCCTTGAAATGGTACACATTAATAAAACTCCAGAATCTATCAATTATAAGACAGACACCAACCATTTAAGTAATATCTACTGTAATATATGATATGATAGATCTTAATATCAGTATCTAACAACATCAGACCAATAACTGACTACGTACCATCAATTACATTTTATAGATCAATTTACCATGTTCCTGATTCTTTCTCAATATTCTACTTTTGCACCTTATTATATGGATAATACTGTCACAATATGTAATTGTTTACTAAAACTGATTCGCTAAAAATTGTACAATGGGAATTCACTCTATAAAATATTGCGGTTACCATAACTCACAAATAAATTAAAATCAAAAAAATGTCATTTATTTAAATTGGATATGTTATCAAAATTTAAATTTTTAATCTTAAGTTGTAAGTATTGAAATATTCATTTTGTTTACATATAATAATTATAATAAATTTACAGTTTTCTCCTGAAGAAGTCACAAAATCGTGACGAAATATTGAGAAATAACAAATAGAGTTTCATTTCATACAGACCAATTGCTGAGACTACAAATAATATATATATATATATATATATATATATATAATATATATATATATATATATATATATATATATATATATATATAAAATATTTTATTCTGGTAATACTTCTTTTAGAAACTCTTTATGTCTCTAAGGGTATCGGAATTATTTTTATTTAATATTATGTATATTTGAGGGGTCCGGCAGTAAAAAATGGTAAGGGTAATAAAGAAGATTTGAGTTTTGAACTTTTGAATTTGAAAAAATGTTCTTACATTTTTTATTAAAAAATATAAGACTATGAATCATGCTAAAATTAGCTGATTATGTTGTTAATCAGTAGGCAAAATATGAAATACCAAATATTTTTTACAATGTTTATTGAGGAAAATATGAAAATATGTACTAAAACTTAACATTATTTACCTAAAATATTTGAAAAAGCAACTAAAGCTACTAACAACTTATGGCACGCTTAATAGTATCCATTTTATGGAGTTTTGAAACTTATATTGTATTCTTCAGTAAATATTTTTTTGAATTTATCTGCAAAAACTGGAGTTTTCTTTTTCAAAATGCATTCTCCTACATAGTTCTCATAACAAGTCTGAATAGAATATTCCATACTTATATTGTCTAGAGCTGTCAGCATGGTGTAATGGCTTTTGTACTTAGTTAAGCTTTCAATAAAAGATTTCAGAAAATCTATGTCAGATTTGGAATATTTTTAGAATTATTTGAATGTATACCACTTAGATTTGATTTTGGATTATTTGATCCAGTTTTAATTGTTTTAACTAGATTTTCAACTCGACCTCGATTTTTCTGTAAACCATGGATACTTAGGAAAGCTATTTTGCATACCTTAACACTTTTTTCTTGTAATTTTAATTCATATTGTGAGATCTTTTTCACACTAGTACTTTAGTTTTCTTTCTAGACACATTTTTAGATCTCATACAACCTTGTAAGTAAGCATTTTGTGTATCAAAATTGTTTATGCCCCAATAATTAACAAAAATTATTTGCAGTTCTTTATAAGATGCAACTAACTTACAGCATTTATTGCGGCAACTAGACAGTGGACCTGGTGTTTTTGACAAAACAAAATTCTCCTTACCTCTGTATTGTTTATATTCTTTTCCGCCATTATGAGCTCTGTCGTTTTTAATTGCTTAATTAAATTGTGTTTCCTTTTTCTAGATTTTGATTCTGAAACAAAATCTTCTTTTTCTTGTTTACTGTGTTCATTTAATTCTCCTCTACTTTCTTTATCTTCCTCTTCTTCTTCTTCTTCAGTACTGGCCTCTGGGTATGTGTGAGAAGAAATTTCTTTGAATTCATGTTCTTTCAAAAGTTTTCTAAAATATAAATAAAAATAATATTAAGTATTATTATAGTATATCCTTTAACATTTTTTACTTTTAAACAATTATTGTAAGAATATAAATAAATTACCTTCTTTGTAGAAAGTTAATTGAGCTAGCTTCACTAAATATTTGAAATTCAGGATCTTTATCTGAGTCGTAATCATCGTAGCTTTCAGAATTGTCACTATTAACATCAAAAAAGCCATTTAGATTTGAGCAACCTCCTTGTCTTCCGCCATCATGGACACATAACATTATTTTCATGCTTATCCATCTTTTGCCATCTTTTACGTGATATTTCGGGAAAAATATAAAATTTGTCCATTACCATTGTTTACTACCGAGCCCCTCATTTATATGGGTTTAAGACACAATTCATTATAATGATAATTTTTCGACTGTTCTAACAACCATTCAAATTTCGTCATTTTGTGTCATGTGGAACAATTTCACCCAATCATGTCAACATTAGACTGATAATTGCATTCAGTGCAATTTTCAATCCCTATGACAACACGATCGAGTTTGACAACTTTATCCAAATAAATTTCGAAATGTCACGTTTCTAATGTTAACTTAAATTTATTTTCACTAACTGTACTTTTAATAAATAAATGTTTCGTTATGTTGAGTTATGATTTTTTTTTTTTTTTTTTCGAAAACTTATCCGCCGAATATCCCTCGGACATGATGAATGCCTCATAATTTCATGACAAATTTCTCAAGCTCGTTGCTTGGTAACAGCACTCAGCCTTCGGCTTCGTGCTGTTACCAAGGAACGAGCTTTCGATTATCATGAAATTATCTCGTCTGTTATCAATGTCCTAGGGATATTACTACTGAAAATTACATTTTTAACTAGTATTTGATGTTTCGATTTCCGGAGTGAAAATCAAGATATCAAATATTCCCGTAGTCCAATATAAGTAGCGAAATAAACATGTTTGAGTATCAAAAGTATCTCAACTGTTTAAAACATTTTTTCCTATGGCGTACACATTCATGATAAATCGATGGTTTCAGCTCCCCTTCGACAAGGGTTTTAGTGAAAGCCCAGTGGTATGAGTGGCCAATTTTTTTGCATCTTTTTGGAGTCGCAAAATTGACATTCCCAGCAAAATTCATCTTGTTTTTCTCATTTTTAATGATCAAATCTCTGACGACTGGACCCTATGCAGTGTCGCACCCAGGGGGGTTTTGGGGGTTAAACCCCCATGGCAGTATTCGAACACTGTTACTCACAAATTTTAAGGACTCAAAATAGAGGTGGCATAAAAAAAATGTCGGTACCCAACCAAAACCTCCTACAGGAAAATTCTAGGTGCGCCAGTGACCATATGTATGGAAATCACAATTAAGGATTTTTAAGCAGTTGATGA